GTGGGAATGCCAGTCCTGACATTGCCGATTTAACTCTTTCTATAATGGAGTACCGTTATTTAAAGAAGCACAGCAATATTAACTTAAAACTTTTCCGATACATCGACAGTATCTTGGTTGTTAACAATTCCGACTTCCCTGCCAGCGCCCGGGACATATATGGTGCTACGCTGGAACTTAACAACACCTATTGTGGGCATAGAGCTTGTTTTCTTGATTTGAAAATCCCTTGCCATAATACAGGTTGTACCTTTGATATCTATAATAAGACACTTCTCCTTTTCGGTTAACTTCTATAATGCTTCGGATAGTGATGTTGATCGAACCCTGCATGAAGGTATTCTCATTTCTCAAATGCTGCGATATTCTCGCATCTGCACCTCCTTAGAACGATTTGTTTGGTGGCCCGGACGATTACTTTCCGGCTACTTAGAAAGGGGATGCGACGCACATAAATTAAATCACTGCGTCCGTAAATTTGTTAGTAGGTATTTGGCTACTCTTACTAAATATTTATACTGTAATGATCATGGGATTAACGTAATTTGCGATATGGTGCTTCCCGACGCTAATTCGGTATAACATCCTATTATTTCCCACCTATGTAATCATTTCTAATATGACAACGCAAGGGGAACCAATGTCCAAGCAAAGCAAATCTGAGAATCTCGTGCTTCATGCTAGTTTAAGACTTTCTTTTTCCATTTCCTTTTTGCATGTTTTTTTATCCTACTTTTCTCTATCACGCTATTTTCTCTGTAACATGGTAGGGGGCTGTACTGATGATTCTCACCCCCTAACCACGTTTCCTGCTATCTGTGTTTACAGCTTAGGGATGAAACACAAGCAAGCTTTTTTTACATACAGCTTTTTACATGACTTTTTCACATGCCACTCTGGTTTTGTAAATATGCGTCACAACAGTCTCTACCTTTTATTTTCCTTCCTTCAGTACCTCACTAGATTCTGGACGGCCACCGTCCTACCCCCGGTTATTCCTATTGCATGTATGGTTGGTGCGACTCCGCCAGTCGCTACCCTTTGCTGAATGGGCCGCTGTTCTTGGCCCTGATTACCACTCTCTTACATTCCCTCACAGGGCCTTTGAGGCCCGTACTGCCTTTTACTCCATTGATTTGAAAAATACATTAGCAGAAACCAATAATACTTCAGTTTGTTTTTAAATCACTGATCCTAAAAGAGGGCGAGTGATCCAAGCACCCTTGCCAGCATAGTTGGGGGCTGAATTTGAAATTCTTAAGTCGTACTTAAACAAGAAACAATCCCCCTAAAATTTCAGCCTTCTGCATTACTGGTTTTCGAGCTAGTAATTTTCCTACCAAAATTCCACATGCCCATACGTGAGTACGACGCGCAACTGAGGGCTGAATTTGAAGTCTTTAAGTTGTACGTGGACGAGGGACACCTCAAAATTTCAGCTTTCAAGCTTTTCTGGTTGCCAAGTTAGCAATTTTTCCGTCAAAGCTTTCACGTGCCTTTACGTGAGAACCGCGTACACATAGGGTTTGAGTTTAAAGTCCCTCCTGCACCTGGAGATATCAGCCCCTAGGTCTGCGTAATTCCCACTTTTCCGCCTTTAGCTCACACATGCAGAGAAAATATCCTTGTAAATATTCAGCTTCCTATTTTGTCTGGTTCCCTAAATCGCTTTCCCACCAAAAAATTCGCATATTTTTAAGTCGTCCGTATGTGGTATCTGAGCGTACGTGAATGATAATATTAAAACGGAGGGTTGCATCGGTGGTGAACACATACTCGTAAAGTTTCAGCTTTCTAGTTCTTTTGATTCTCGAGTTGAAATTGAGTGACAAAAGGAGCGAACGCATAGACAGACAGACAACCTCTTGCCAATGTACATTTTTGTATCTGCATATGCGCAAAAACGCATAAAAAGGAATACGTCTATGCACGTTTTTTTTGTGCAAACACATCCAAAGTTACATTGACTATCAGAATTAAAAATTACCAGGTTTCACCGGAAAGGTCATAAAGTTTCAGGATTTGTTGGTAAAAAATCGAAAGTATCAAAATTTTTTCAAAAAAAAATTTAGCTTTTTAGAAACTTTTGATAAAATCCAAAAATATCAAAAAATGCGGACCGAAAATTATACAAAAAATGAAGAATTTAAAAAGTGGAAAATTGGAAGGATTTAAAAATTACGAAGAAAAGTAAAAAACAAATCAAAAAAATTTAAAAAAATCGTCAAAAAAATTTGATAACAAAACTATTTGAAGAATTTTGAGCTATTTGAAAAATTCTGGGCTGTTATCCCAGACTATCAGTATACAACAGAAAATATTTTTTCAGACTTTTAAAATTCATCGCCGGCCGTCAAAACTCGTCAAGCAAAAATAAATTCTGAAAGTTTAAAACACCTTCGGTTATCATGACTGAAAGAACTTTATTTTAAATCTTTAGAATTTTTCCTCGTCCTGCAGTCAAAAAAATCAAAA